TTCTGACACTCCCCACACCAGCACAGCAGAATCTCCAAAAAAAGCCGCAGCGGAGGGCTCTGCTGGGAAAGGAGAACCTTTTGTCAAGAGGAAGCCGCTTCTTCAGGCCCGGGTCTCCCCCTCGGAGACACATGCAGCCTCCGCTCCGCCAAGCGCTGGGACGGGGCCGGCCACGCACAGGTGAGGCGGGACGGGCTGTGACAGGAGTGGGGCCCCCTTGTCCTCTACCCGTAGAGGTTAGGGCTTCCTGGTCATGCAGAGGTCCCAAGCTCACAGCACCTGGTTTGCTGGGAGGACCCAGTGCAAATGGCCGTGCCCCAGGATGTCTTCAGGACACCCTGCTGTGTCCGCAGCACAGGCTCAGTGGGGTCTGCAGGGACGGCCGGGATGCTCTGCCTGGTCAGGTGTGGAGGGCTCTACCGCAGAAATGCCATGACCAGGATCTTAGTCTCAGAAGCCAGCTACACTGGGCAGGGGGACCTGGCGGTACTGCATCTTCCATTAAGCACAATGGGTACCTGGGGTGTTGCTCTGAACCCTGCTTTAGCGGTGGAGGAGAGTGGCTCAGCAGGGAGTCCCAGCTGGAGATCCAGCTACAGTCACCTGCAGAATAAGACGGCCTCCCAATATGCATGAGACCAAGGGAACTCGGACACCTGGCTAGGAAGTGCTTTGCTGGCGGGTGTGTGGCTGCCTTTGTGCCCACAGGAACTGAAATGGTGGAGCGCAAGGGACCGCAGAGGTGACCGGCCCGTGCCCTCACCAGAGCCCCAGCCACCCACTGTGTGTCTTTCCGGCGACCATCTTTGAGGTGGGCAGATTCTTGGTTTGCCATCACAGCAAGTTCTAAGGAGCCTCCCTCCCTCCCTTTAGACTTCATCCTGTGAAACCAATGAGCACAGCAGCCACCAGGATTGTCGGCTCCAGCTTGGGGACTGCCACCGTCATCAGCGAGAACTTGATCAACGAAGCCCTGATGAAGGTATGTCTTCCAAGACGTTGGCTGTGGGGCTGGCGAGTGGCCCAGCGGCTAAGGGAGCCAGATCCTACATGGCTAACAAAGCCATGATGAAGGTACGTCTTCCAAGACGTTGGCTGTGGGGCTGGCGAGTGGCCCAGCGGCCAAGGGAGCCAGATCCTACATGGCTAATGAAGCCATGATGAAGGTACGTCTTCCAAGACGTTGGCTGTGGGGCTGGTGAGTGGCCCAGCGGCTAAGGGAGCCAGATCCTACATGGCTGATGGTGTGATTCAAATCCTGGCCCTGGTGACTTGGATTTGAATGTGCCAGGCCTGTGTGTGTGCATGCCCCACTAAGGAATGCCTTCTCCCTCTCCCTCTCTCTGTCTCTCTCTGGCAGACACATGCACCCTCTGGCAAAATAAAGAAAAAAATTACAAACACTGGCATATACATTAGGGAATGGCAGCGCACCCACCCCTGGAGTCACCATTATTGATGCATTTCCTGAAAGTAATGCCAGTCTTCACCGAATCACCCATCTGGTATCTCTGGGGGCTTCCACAGGAGAGTTCATTTTCCCCTTGGAGTTATTTAGATGTCGTTGAATTTTTGGTGTTTCAAACAACCAGACCTGTACAGACCCTTTAAAAAAAAGAATTATTTTATTTATCATTATTATTTAATTTGACCGGAGAGAGAAAGAAAAAGTGAGAAAGCGAGCTGCCAGGTCTGGGACTTGAACTGCAATCAGTCATGTGGCAGTCCCATGCCTCACCTACTAAAGCGAGCTGCCAGGTCTGGGACTTGAACTGCAATCAGTCATGTGGCAGTCCCATGCCTTACCTACGAAGTCACCCGCAGCCCCAGACGTTTTTTTCTTTTTACAGAATTATTTTATTTAACTTTATTTATTTGTTTTTAAAATTTGACCAGAGAGGGACAGAGCAAGAGAGCGAGAGCGATTGAGAGAGAGAGAGAGAGAGAGAAAGAAAGCAAGCCACCAGCTCCAGGACTCGAACTACAGTCAGTCATGTGGGAGTTCCATGCCTTAACTGCCAAGTCACCTGCCAGCTCACAGACTTTTTTTTTTAATAATTATTTTATTTAACTTTATTTATTTATTTAAAAAATTTGACCAGAGAGGGACAGAGCGAGCGAGCGAGAGAAAGCAAGCTGCCAGGTCTGGGACTTGAACTATGATCGGCCATGTGGGCGTCCAGTGCCTAAACCACCATGCCACCTGTTGGCCCTTAGACCCTTCTTTTTAAGAAGATAAATGATGGCCGCAGTCCGGCTCATTCCAGTCAGATACTGCTGTTTCCTTTCATCTTTTGGCAAACATGTACAGTTCTCTTGGTTGTAATCATTGCCTGGATATAGTTTTTTGTAACTTTAGTTTGAGTTCTTTTCAGACTGAAAGGAAGTTGCCAGAATTGCACAATGAACCCCTGTACGCCCTTCGTCCGCTCACTAGTCAAAGCAGAGCACGTCTGCGCTACTGTCCCACCCTCGCGTCCCCTCTCCCCCTCTGTGTACACACGGGCAGGTGTGTACAGGACTTCTTCCTGGGGCACTCATGTTATGTACATCATGTCCATTTTACCCTTACACACATACATACATACACATATATACACACACATATACACATACACATATACACATACATATATACACACATACACATATATGCACACACATACACATACACATATATACACACATATACATATACACATACATGTATACACACATGCATACACACATACATATACACATACACACATACATATATACACACACATACATACATACATATTGTTTTTTTAGAGAAATTTTTGCTATAGAGTGCGTGTGCTTGCCAGAGAGACAGACAGCGAGAAAGCAGCCCCCAGGGAAGATGACCACGCTGCAATCCCCATTCTCCTTCATCCTCCCCTTGGGATTTTGTACATGCACACATGTGCCAAGTGTGTTTGATGCTGCCAGGTCTGGGGCTCGAACCACAGTCAACCATGTTGCAGGGCAGTGACGTAACCATTATGCCACATGCTGGTTCCTACCCTTACATACTCAGGTGTGTGCTTCCTGACAGTGAAGACGCTCACAGGAATCAAGAGGCCGAACGCTGCTGTAATGCCAGCTGCCCCTCGCCAGTCCAGGAGTCGGGTCTCGCCGGTCGCTCCGACTGGGCCCTTTGTAGTTTGTTTTCCCTAATCCAGGGGCAGGCTCAGGCTCCCAAACTGCATTTAGTCTTCTTGTCTTTGTCTTTTCTTTTCCAGAATAATTTCTTGGCTTATTTTTATCTTTAAAGACGTTGATATTTTTAAAGAGTTTAGACTGAGCTGGCCAGTGGTGTGGTGGTTAAAGGCACCAGATCCCACATGGCTGGCCACGTGGTTCAAGTCTCAGACCCTGTGTGTGTGCCCAAATCTTGAAGGGAGGGAAAGGTGGAGGAGAAGGGATTGAGGTGTGACCATTCCCCAGGGGCACGCTTTCTCATTCTTGCCCTCTCTGTTTTCTTTCTCTCTCTGTGTCTCTTCGGCGAGTGCACAGGCCCTCTGACAGAAATTTTTTAAAAAGGAAGAAGAGTTCAACCAGTTGTTTTGCGCTTTTCTGTGGCTTGGCCTGGTGTTCGCTCACGAGTTGGGTGAGGTGTCGTGTTCTCGGCCAGGATGAATGTGCGGGTGGGTCCCGTGCTCCTGCACTGAGGACACACATGCATCAGCTGCCCCACAGCAGGAGTGCGAGCGATGGCCTGGTGAGGGGACAGTCCACCGCCTCCCCTGGAGAGCCGCTATGTTGCCCTTCACAATTAATTTAAAAATTGTGGGGGGTTAATTTCAGACAGTGTCAACACCCTGTTCTTCATTAAACTTTCCTTTGAGGGCGTTGTTTTATTTTTCACTTTGTTTCTATGAGTGAGAGAGATAGCGCCTCCAACAGAGTCTTAGTGCATGACCTCCCAGCCTCAACCTGCCTGGCCCATGGAAATGCCCGGCCTTCTCAGGGAGGTCTGGCCATGAACTGAACACCTTCCTGTGTAGCATGCCGTGCAGCGTGCTGTGTTCACTGCTGTGCCGCCGTCTGGCCCCTCCCACGGTTTACTGTCGATGAATATGGTGGTTGCAAAGCGATTTCCAACTCCATTGCATGCGTGAGACACTCCTAAACTCTCTTTTCTACATCGCGAGCATTTTTGCATGTTGCTACTTATTCTTCAAAATGGGTTATACCGGGACCAGCAGGTGGCATAATGGTTATGTTGCTGGACTACCGCGTAGTCAACTGCAGTTCGAGTCCCAGAGCTGGTAGCCTAAGACTCATGCTGGGCACCTGTGTAGGCGTTGCCCAAGATCCCAGGAAGAGGCTGGAGGAGAAGGGATCGCAGCATGGCCATCCCTCCAGGAGGTGATTTCTCACTTTATTTCTGTGACTCTCTGGCGAGGACACATGCCCTATAACAAAAATCTCTCAAAAACACGGGGTTATACCCTTGCCATTTAGTCATCTCCCTATTAGGGGCTATCACGACCGTTCCTGGTTTTCAGTATGAATGAATACTGCAGTCAACAACTTCCTGCTTAGGATTTCTTTTTGCAGATTATCATCTTTCTTTTTTTAAAGAGATTTTTGCTATAGGGTGCATGTGCTTGCCAGAGAGACAGAGAGACAGAAAGCAAGGAATCACCCCCTGGGGGGTTGGCCACACTGCAATCCCTTCTCTTTCATCCTCTTTTTCTTCTTTTTTTTTGGAGAGGTTTTCGCTATAGGGCATGTGCGCTCGCCAGACAGACAGAGAGAGACATAGAGACAGAAAGCGAGAAATCACCCCCCAGGGGGGATGGTCATGCCGCAATCCCTTCTCCTCCATTCTCCTCTCGGGATCTTGGGCACGCACGCACACGCGCCCGGCGTGAGTTTTAAGCCACCGGGTCCGGGACACGAACCGCGGTCGACTA